CAGACTGTACATTATTAGTATTGAGTCGCTTTATTTATTCTTTCATTTGATATATACTATAGTTTATGTCAGACTAATGATTATACCAGTTACAAGTCAGATAATATACATATATATATATATATATATTATAGAAAATATTGTCTTGTTCAAAGGCTTATCGGTTTGAGTTTGAAATTTTTGTCTAGTGAGTCTAAACATTAATTTAGTAATATTGGCTATAAGGACTATTTTGACTGTAAGATTGTAGATATTGTTAAAGTCACTTTATTTGAAGTATTGTTTTGTTGTGGTGCTTATTTGATTATTATGATTTTGTCCTTGAAAAAATATCCTAAGGATTAAAGAATGAGGGTGTTTGATTAATCTTAGCCTTAATTCCTAAGTGATGTGGAACGTTTAGGCTTGGAACAAGCCCACAGTTGAGGCTAAGGGATAAAAGTTGCTTAAGTCTTCTTTCTAGTGTCAATGTTTCAACCATAAGTCTATGAATATCATTAGGGTCACCAAGTCCAAGGTTTTGACTGTTGTGACATTCTCTGATCATCACGATTTTGTCATTGAAAAGTCATATCGAAAAGTTAAGGAGGAAGGGTGTTTATAAATTATCCTTTGTCTCAATTCATAAATAGTGTGAGACTTTTAGACATACCAGAACAAGGACAAATGATTTAGTTATCATGCCAATCAAAGTAGTTTTCAAAGGATCGAATAAAAGTGAATAAATGTTTAGGTCTTATCTAATTAACTAAAAGCTTATTTGGTTAGTAAATTAAGGTACCACTTAACATAAAGTTATGGATTACTCTTGTAACACCCTAAAAATACAACACTAATAGAATAAAATAGAAATATTATTTTCTAATAATTACTTATTTTAGATGTCATAATTAATTATAGAAAAATGTAAAATAAAATTAAATAAATAATTTCTTATATAAAATCAAAACTAATAGTTGAACTAAATTAGGTATTACTTGTAGTTGTTATTAGTGAAAAAAATTATGAAAAATAATTAGTTAGTCTAGACTTATTAATGAAAAATTAATAAAGATAATAATATATTAAGTGGTTAGTGAAGTAAATTAATTAATAAAATTAAGTTAGTAAATTATTCAATTAACTAATTTATATTTCTTTGTTTTTTAAAAAAATAATTTAACATAAAGCTTAGGTAAATGACTAATAGAGAGATTAAAGGTGGTTACGAGATTTAATTTACCCAAAACTAAGTGAGATTATGTGGGTCCTACTAAAACTCTAACTTTGCCCCCTATATATCTCAAAGGAAGACTCCTACCACCTTCTCCTTTGTATGAGTCTACCAACTTGTGGAGGAAAAGAAGAGTTTGCAAAAACTCTTCCCTTAGTTCTCTCCATAAGTGTTCTTCTACTCCCATCCTTATTATCCATTTCTCCTTTCAATTTTCTAATCCCTTTTTCCTCTTCTACATTCTTCATTCTCCATTGAAGCACTTTGCAGCTTGCAATTAGATTTTGTTCTTGATACCCACACTAGAAGCTCTTGCTTAAGGAGGTGATGGAGGGCTTGGACTCATTTTTTTTGGGTTTATTTTACTATTTGAAGGGATTCCTTAATATCTTTTTACATTTGTTGTGTTTTTGAGTTGTATGGAGTTGAACTATACAAATTAGGAATCATGTTCTAAATTGTGTTTAGAAACTTGGAATATGTATAATATAAAATGTAAAGATGTTAGAATTAATTTAATTGAATTTGAAATTGATTTGAGTAGTGTATGACCCTAAAAGAGTGACTTTTGACTCAAATAAAGGGTTATTTTCATGACAACCTTTTTTTAATGTTTGGTCATGGTTCAATGTTTTAAATGTGTTTAGAGACTTGGAATATGTATGTCATGAATTGTAAAGATATTGAAATTGATTTGGTTGAGATTGGGTTTGATTTGAACTTGAATGTGACTTGAAAGTGTGATTTATGTATGTTATTTGTTGATTTTGTTATGATGGTTCTATTTCATTTATGACTTTAAATATGAATTTTTGGTATCATATTGTTGTACTTTCATGCTCCAAAAGAGGTGCCAAGGTTGTATACAAATGCATAAGTTGGGGTTTGATGTTAGGATTCTTAAATTGGTAATGTTTTTTGTATAATGTGGTTTATATGCAATTCTAGAAAAAAAAAAACCTCATTTTAGTGTGAAAAATGAGTGTTACGTGAAGAAATGATAAATACAAGTGTTGACATGTTTTGGTAACTTATTGAACTAATTTTGACTTGTTATGATGATTAGAAGTATAGGAAACTCAAAAATTAGTTGGTTGTCATGCATATTAAAGTAGAGAGAAACATGTTTTAAAGCTTGTAAAAGTGTCAAAAATTGCTAAGAATGTGTACTTGAGATGAAACGTTGGTGACCCAATAAGTTTAGGATGATTTAATGCTCAAAATAATGAGTTATGACCTTTGAAATTTGACTCTAGACATCTTGAGCGAAAATGACATTTTCATATTATAGGATTTATCTAAAAACTAACTTAAAGGTTAATGAATTGAAGAATGGGGTCATAAAATCATTTCATTTAAGTATATTTAATTTAAGAACTCTTAGAGGTAAATTGGGTGACTTAAAACAATAAGAAGTAACGATTTAGCTAGAATAGTCTTTGTTGGCTAATATTCATAAAATACTTAATAGTTTATGAGGTGAAGTTAAATTAAATTTTATATAAGATATAAGGTCAAAATGATTAACTAAGAGGACGAGTGTGAATTAGTAAAATCAAACTAAAACATTATTTCCTTTATGTGTTTTTAAGTCTTGAGAAAAATGAACTAATTTTAAAGTTAAATATTGAACCATCCTTAATTCTTGAAATTTTTTATATGTAACGTTGTTGTGGTGATTTAAGGAGTGTATAAACATATGAAATGAAATATGCCCATGAATTATAGTGCATGACGATGAGATGACCCTTTTTTACTATTAATTAGTCACCAAACAATTGTGAATTGATTTGATTTATTTTTAGTTGATTTGACATATCTTATAAAGTTGAGATATGAATATGACATGTGAAACGAAATGAGTTTTGATGGTGACAATGTGAGATCTTGATAATATAGATTCTTATTAATGATATCCATGAGCCTATATCTGAGTTTGATATGAATATGTACATGTTGTATTGTGAAAAGTACGAAAAACAAAGGAGACTATGGCAAAATTTCAAGGAGGTTAAGGAGGAATTTGAGTGTGTTGTCATGTAAGTGAGTGACATGCACCTAAATGAGTAAAGAAGATAAGTGAATGGGCGACAACAAAGTGGTACCTAAGGTATGTCCATTGGTCCCGAGTCCTTGGGGGTAGATAAGGTGCTAAAGTTATGGTATTTTATTGGGGCTATGGGACTCACAAAATTGGCTTAACGTTCCTGATACTTACAGTGCATAACCATAGTTGATTGAGAGTGTTTTGTCGAGTATCAGGCAAGACATGTACTCCTAATTGTCACCCAAAGGAAGAGTTAATATAAGACCTTTTATATAAATGATCAAGAGGCATTGGGGGACCACATGCATGAGTCAAAGATAATTTAGACGAAAACCAATAAGTTTTCCCTTACATTGCATTGCATTTTTACATGGTCACTATGATGTGATTTCGAGTGAAATCATAACGTTTTCATTATTTGTAACTCATTTATATGAGTATTGAACCTCACTCCTTTTCTTATATATATTTTTTTGTGTATGTTTACTTTCAATGTTTAGTTGGTGGCGATGAATCACTTTCCTCTAGTATTAAGGATGGCTCTCTGATGCACTAATATGAAGATAATTTATTGATTAGATAACCAATTCTACCCTTTTTGCTATGAAATACAAAAACAAATCAATTTATTGAATTAATTTATTACTTTCATAACTTAATTAACTAAATTATTTTAAAAGATAAAAATTAAAAACTATATATGTTAATTAAAGTGCGTTATAACTCCAACTTATTCTACGTAAAATGAAGTTAAATAATCTTGTAGTAAATAAAATTGTCTAACATATTCTAAGAAAAATAAAGTTTAATAGTCTTATAAAAGATGATCGGTGCAATGATGTACTTCAAAATGGTTAGTATATGTGTTTCGTCAATTGCAACAAGTTTTCTATACGAAATTGGTTAACCTCATTTTTACTTGAGATTAACCAACCCAATATTGATGCAATAAAACAGTCATACAAATCATCTTATTTATGATATTACTTGTACTAATTGTGTTGTACGAGACTATTTAATCTCACATTTACATGCGTAAATTTTTGGATAAATCAAATATTATAAGATTGAAAATTAATTAATTCTTCGAAGTACTCGACATTTTTTTGATAAATATTTGTCAAAATACACGAATTAAACTTGAACACATAACTATGTGATTTAAATAACCCCTATCATCATCACTCCAACTAAAATGAGTCTTGATATTTGGATATTCAACAGGTAAAAGTTCATGATTAAAATCTGTTATTTTTTATTGCATCACATTTCCGGTAAAAAGAAAAACTCATATTTCCTCTTTCTCTCCTATCTCTATGTAGACACAATGTGCGAGAATCTTTTTTCAAATATAAACCAGTACAAATAAATTGCAATTTCGGGAAACCCTGAAAGGAGAGTTACTAAGACAAAATTCAAAATATAACATGCAAGAGAATGGTTGTTGTTGCAAATCCCGAAGACTTTGACGTCTTGTAAACTGTAAAAACAGGCTTTAGCTTTTTCTTGAATACAAACTAAAATGTTGGGATGAGACGTTGGAAAGTTCAAACCATATATCACTCGTTGGACAATCCTTCATGAAACAAAGTCCGAAACAGATCCATGACATCCTTATTCAGAACAAGGCCAACTTCAACACCACCTTTCGCATCCTTGCTCTCTGCCAAACCAATGGTCATAGCTCTATCCACCGAGGCTATCTCCACCTTCGCAGGCTTCCCCCAACCAAAATCGGTTTCATAAACCCCAAATCGATTAGACCCCGCAACTCCCAATATTTGATAACCTCCCTTTATCCAAGTCTCATATTTTGAAAGCTGACCATCGAACCCATAAAATACCCCCTTATCCAACATCTCTTTTATTTTACCATGAGTACTCTTCGCAACACAAACCACCCCTTCTTCCTTTATGAAACCCAACGGTTCCGTATCCACCATTAACCCCCACACGCAGTTCCCAAAGTAGTTATCAGGAACCGGAGGCTCCATCCGAGCCCTGCAATCCACCGTGAACCCAAAACCGAATTTCTCTTTATCCGCTTCAACTCCGTGAACCGCTTTAGCAATGCAAACTAGAGCATACGCGCACGTGAGAACAAACGACGACAACGTAGCTGGCTTCGAAACACCCTTCGATTCCGATTCCGATTCCAAGTCCCACTTGGACAACACCCTCTTTTGCAGCTTGGAGCGTGTCAGCAGGAACGTGGCACGATCCGCGTCCTCCACTCTCGGAAGGAAAGGTAGAAGCTTTAAGCATCGCCCATCGCTGTTTTCTTGAGGGAACATTTTTGCTAATGCCTCAGTCAAATCGTTACTGAAGTTGAGACCTAATTCACTTGCGGTTTTGATCACGGTTCTGTCGAAGAAAGGTTGCAAACCTTTCGCCAAAGGTAGTGACTCTGGCTCTGATCCCGAGTCATTAATGGTTTTGCATAGTGAAGACCATGCCTTGACGAAAAGGGTGGAGGATTTTCCGTCGAGGACAGCATGGTGGGTGCTGATGCCGATGGTGAATCCTCTGTTGGGGAAGAGAGTGATTTGAAGAGAGAGAACCTCGGCGTGAGAATCAGATGATTCCAAGTGGGGTACTAAAGCGCGTGACTCGGACGCATTGCGTGGTGATTTGTCCAGGGTTTGGTCGAAGTCGGCTTCGGATTGTGCCACCACGAGCGAAACGGTGTCGCCGAGGGTGTATTTGATGAGGGGGTTTGGGGAGTCGGAGGGCCACACGACGTTGCCGGCGAGGGTGGGGAAGTGGCGGAGGGTGTGGGAGAGGGAGGTTTTGAGAGTTGGAACAACTTGGGTGAAGAAAGTGGAGGGGTGTGAAAGGGGTGTAGGGAGGGTGTAGAAGAAGATGCGCTCCACGGGGTGGAAGCGGAGCCAGAACAAGTCGAAGAATGTTAAAGAGAGGGATGTTTGGGGTGTTGATGATGGTGGTGAGACGCGGGAGTGGTCGTGGATTTTTATGTTGCCAGAAGCCATGTGAAGGAATTAAAGGAGAAGATGTGATTATAGAGCCTTTGGTGTGAGCAAGAAAAATATGAGGCCACCCTTTGCTTTTGTAATGGGAAAATGATTCATGTCAGTATATTGCGACGGTCGGATTACAAAGGAAGAAAAGTTGGAAAAGAAACTAATAAATATTATTTTCTATTTTAAAAATACAGAGAAATAAAAAACAAAATAAATGAGAGTCGGTAAAAGACAGTGTATGTTTATAAATAATTAAATACTCATTGCATATATATGGAAAATAATTTTTAGACATATGATACATTAATATATTCATCACTTACTTTGAGAAAATGGAGGATGAATAGTGTTCCTACGTGGATTAAGGAGGAAGGCTGTTTATAAACTACCTTTAGTCTCGACTTCTAAACGATGTAGGACTTTTAGGTATACCGGAACAAGTCCCTCATTCATGCGATGTAAGACTTTTAGGTATACCGGAACAAATAAGAGATCGAACACAATCTCTAATCACCTAATTTAAGTTCTATTTTACTATTAAATGGATTTAGAAAAGAGGAGAAATTCTATTTTAGTAAAATATTTAAAATATATTTAATTATATTTTTAAATATAACAATATAAAAATAAATAAATTTTTAAAATTTGCTATCTTTTTCTATGAATGAGATAAGAAAAGAGTTATTTTTCATCTTACTCTTAATCAAGCAAAATTTTGTTTCTTTTCCTTCCTTTTCCTTTTATAAAAATTCCTCTCCTCCACTCCCCTCCACAACAACAAAAACAAATATATGATAAATGTAATAATATATATATGCGGTAAAAGAGAAATAAATAAAAAGATGAAATATAATTAAAGTATATGAATTATTTAGGTGTCTAAATATCATTACTTCAAAAATATTTAAGTAATATAATGTTTATATGATAATTTACATAAAATTCTTTGATAAATATAATATTTTTATAATTAATTATTTAAGTTATATCATTTATTATATTTCAAATTTATATTATTATTTTAGTTTTGAAAATGTATATCGTTATCATATTAGTCTTCAACTTTTTAAAAGAATTTAAATACCTTCTTTTAAATGCAATTCATTAATTATATTAATCAAAAATAAAAAATATAACTTAATAATAGTATTAACAAATATTTGCATATAAAAATAATCATAAATAGTTAAATTTAGAGGTTTAAAAAATGATTAAAAAGTTTAGAAACTTACTTACAGTTTTTTAAATTTTATGAATAATGTAATTAACAACTTGATATATTTTCAAGGATTAAATGATAGTTTACTCCACTTTTAATTATAAAAATTGTTAATAACATTTCCAACTCTCAATAGAGTTGAAGTGACGAAGTTGAAGTGACGACTTATGAACTGGGAGCAAGTCTTAATGTCAATGATAGAGTTTTTATTTTTAGTAAAAGATTCATGTAATATTTTAAAATTGATAATCACATATTAATTTACGTTCTAGGGCGTAACCTAATTTATGTTGGTATAAAAAGAAAATATTAATTTATGATATATAAAAATGTATTACGTATTCCAAACCAAAAATTTTGGTCAGCTCTGGGTCGTTTTCTATGTGTAATATTCATTTATGATGATGATCTTAGTCCTCCACGGAATTAGTCAGTCATTTTTATTTGGATAAATATTCTTTTTGTAAACGGAGATATAATGACATATATAAAATTTTGGTGCTCGAGAAGAAAGAATAAAAATTAAAAATATATTTATAAATTTATTTATACCATTTAATTTAAATTCACTCTAAAATGAGATAAACGTTTACATTTTTACCAAAAAAAGAAAAAGAAGTTTAAAAAAGTAATAATAAAAGAAAAATAATGTTTGCTCTTTTTTAGTGAATATTCAATGACGTGATGGATGATTAATGCTTTCTTATTGTTTGACAGCAGCTGACTAATTTAGTGAAAAAAATTAATAAATTATACCATATAGTATATATATACTCCTAAAATTCTCAAAATAAACTCTCATACCAGAAAATGATATATTCTAGAATATAAAAAAAAAAACTTTATTTGGTGACACAAGCGAGGGTTGACCTGGCTTTTACTTTTGAGAATTCGTTTTTCCTTCTAGAAAATGGACATATGTAATCATCTCATTGGTGACAATTTAAATTGCACGAATGACAAGATTTTTTCCCCCCTTTCTTTATGCGCACGTGAGCACATGTGCATGAATGACAAGGTTAATTCTAGAGAGGATGAATCAACTAAATTGAATCGAAAAATTCCTTAACGGTGTGTTTAGTTAGAAACAAAAAAAAATTTAAAAATGAAATAATAATATTAAATTTAATAATAATAAAAATAAATTTTATCCCATTCTTTTCAAACAAAATATTAAGAATGAAACTCTTATTAAAATGTTGCGAAGTACAAGCTATTTAGCAAACTATGGCTAGTATACCAAACAAATGAAAATTTGATGCATTTTTTTTTTATTTAAAATGTAGTACATGTCAATTCCCACTCAATCTCGTGGCGATCTTAACGTTGTTTGTTGTCGTATCTCTCTGTCATTTCTTCTCACCATTATATTATATCTCCGTCTTTGCCGTCTTCTTGTTTTCTAATGTTTCATTTTTGCATTAAAAAGTCTTAAGAAAAAAAATCAAACTATTTAAATACTACACGTAAGTTTATTTTTCGGTTTCTTTAATTATTAAATTTGATTAAAATTAATAATTATTCGCGTATCAAAATTGATTAAATGCTATTTCAATTATAAATTATTATTTTAATTTGTATAGTTCATAAGATAAATATTTATGTATGTAATTAATAATATTTTAAATTCATAAAATATTATTTTTAAATTTATAAATCATATTAAACTTAAATTCATAAACTAGATATTTTAAATATATAAATTAAATTTTTATTATAATAAATATTTTAAATTGTGATATTTTTTAATTAATATAAATAAATAATTAAAAAAATCAAGTACAAATGAAGTAAAAAAGATGGAATTTTAAAATTAATATTGAAATTATCAACATATATATTATATACAACTTATTAAGTTTTATGTACCTATATTGTAACACTGTAAGTTTTGTTAGTTATTATTGTTCTTATTAAATTATATGTTGATGTGTTGATTTGTTCTTTTTATGTTGAGAGATTATGAGGAATTAAAGAATTTTTGAGAAGTTTTTTCAGGTAGAAGCTAAGTTTGACCTATAAGGAGAAGTTATATAAAATCTTTCTTTAAAAACTTTATAAGTTAATTTCTTCAAAAAGTTTAGAGAAAAGTTAGAGAGAAATACTCTAATTCCTAAACTTCTTCTTTCTTTTCCTAGCCTTCCCAAGAGTGTGAAGATTTGAGTTGAGTGGTGGTTTGGTGATTCAAAGCTTAGAAAGTTGAGAATCGGAGCTTCTGAGGTGTTGTGTGGAGTTTCCTAAAGAGAGAGCTTAGAACTTATTTTCTTCTTTCTTCCTCTTGTTTGGAGTGATCTTGAGGTAAGGGGAGCTAGGATTGTGGTTCTTGATGGATTGATTGTATTGTATGTTGGTTGATCTCCATAAAATCGTGATTGTGGCTGATTTTAAGAATTGAATGTTGAGGTTGGGGTTTTAATGTTTATGAAGCACGTTGAAGTGAAAATTGATGATTTTATCAAATTGTATTTTGCTTGTTGATTTTGAGGATGAATATTAGTTGTTTAAGGTATTTATATGCTCTATTATGTCTTGCATGTTGGAAATCTTCTGAGTTTTAGGTGGATTGAAAAAAATCATGATTTTGCCAAGTGTAGAAATCATTATTGTGTCAGACATGACTCAAATCAAGGATCCTATGTCTTACTCATGTTAGGTGAAAGATTGGTGGCATTGGGCGTGATAAGACAGAATAACCTTTGACTGAATTGGCATTGGACACCATTAGAGTGGCACCAAACATGGGTCAAGTAGAGACTTTCTACTTGAAACGAGGCTAGGCGTGGAATTTGACTACACTAGACATGAGAGTGCAGGGGTTCCCCACTTCACCTATGCCAGACATAGGTTGAATGGTGTTGAGTATTGTCACAAACCTTGCCCGAGAAGAAATTGCTTTCGTTCAAAAATGGCTATCCCCCATAAGGACACGAGCAATGAAAGAAAAACAATAATGATCACTGAATTTGAAATCGAGTAGTAACGTAAAGAATAAGAGAAAATAATGATAAAGAAATTTCAATTGTAGGGACACATGTTTAAGTTGGGATTCCCAAAAATAGATGATGTTTTTAAAAATTGATGATGTGACCAAAAGTCAAACAACAGTTTCAAAACTGTACCGTCAAGGTAAAAATCCGATCTGATTTCTACTCGGCAAAAACCCGACTAGGTTCCCAGGCCACAAGCCCTTTCGCCTTATCGGCTCAGGGCTGGAAGGCAAGTGTACCGTCCAAGGTAAAAATCCGATCTGATTTATACTCGGCAAAAACCCGACTAGGTTTTTCAGGCCACAAGCCCTTTCGCCTTATCGGCTCAGGGCTGGAAGGCAAGTGTACCGTCCAGGTCGTAGCCCGACCTGGTTTCTCATTCGGAAATAAGGCGAGTAAAACCACCTTCTCGGCATTAACCCGACTGGGGTCCAGTACATACCTGGTCGGTCATAGCCCGACTTGACTCGTTAGACTCGGTCTCCCTTGCCTACAAGGGAGCTGCTCGGCACTTATCCTGCTCGACCCTTAGTATGGGCCCGGTCGGTCGGATTCCGATTACGCTTGTTCCCGCTAATCCCGCACCATCGTGATAAGAACGGTTAGGGAAATCCCTCAATCCTCGGGGTCCAAGAGGCCCATGAACGACGTACTATAAAACCCAAAACCTTAGAGTTGAGAAGGCAGATTACACTTTTGAATGCTCTGGCTTTGAGGCTCGACCTAGGCAGAAACCCTAGTCCATCCCTTGGCCGGAACATTTTGGCGCCCACCGTGGGGTTACGGTGAAACTCTTCCTATGCCCCAAGAAACACAAAAAACCTACACTTTACCATGGCAAGAGGCGACAACAACAACAACAACTCGCAACCACCAACCATGGAGGAG